GTAACCCTACTTAAAGGATCATCGGACTTAGTAACTAGGGTTATGATTAGGGTAAGTGTACTTATCACCCCAATTAAGGTACTTATAACCTGACTTACTAAGTCCCATGATCCTCCAAGTAAACCTTAGACCCAAGACCCCCAGCGCCCGACCCAGAATCTCAGAGCCCAAACTCCGAACCCTAGCCGCTTAATGTAGGGGGTTGGAATAATTAGTAGCAGTACCGCGTGCACATTCTTGCTTGAAAACTATACTGGGCCCCGGCACCCTCGTCAGCATTTTTCAGACTCTTAGGGTTCGGAGGTAAGGGTTTGGGGTTCTTTGCGCGAGGTGCTGCAGAAATTTGTCCTTGAGGAGTGGACGAAGCCGCGGATGGAAGAGATAACCACTTTCGTCACCGTTCCTGCAACCGATGTCGTCATCCGTCTGCGGCGCCGCGGAGTCGAGACCCAAAAAATCTGCGGAGACCGAATGGCAGCCCCATTCTCGCACCCGCACCCAGAGAGCCCAATACCTTAATTGAGCAATATACCTCAATCATAAAGCAGAAATCACCAGGGAAACACAGTAGGACAGCATGCACTTGTACAGATGTGCATGCTAACTACAACATTTGGCTCAAGATAAAAAGGCGCCCTTGTGAGTTGGGGTTTCCTTTGTCTTGATTGCTTCAATAAGCACGGCTAAAACTGATTCTAACGGAATCTTTGGGTTATCAGCCGTATAGCTCAAGAGCTTGAAGCTACTTCGCGTTCTGTTCGGTTGTTTTCTTCCGTTCAGGGCATTACATACTTCCACGCCATAGCCGTCTGTTGAAGCTTCTTTCTCGCCTCTGCATTTTGCTGGTGTTTATTTGGAGCTCCACACGTCTTTGGTCACACCGGTGCATGAAACGGTCTGCCTGGTTCAATCCCCGAGGTGGGAAATCAACACGGCGCAAAATCAGACGTGAACTTAGACTCTTGCAGGGTGCAGTTGAGCAAGGTATCGTGGTTCAATCAGGTTTGCCCTCGGACGAGGATTTTGCCCCTGAGCAGCGTGAGTCGCGCCAGGAGGCTTGGGTGCCAAGGCAGCCTGATTATCCTCCACCTGGTTTTGCATCAAGCTCCTCGCGAGAAGCTGCGCCGGAATCCACGCCACTCGTGGTAATCGAAGACGATCCGCCAAGAATTGAGCCGAGGGTTGTATTTTCTACGGTGGCGAATCTGGAGGGCATCGGGACGGGTCACTTTGAAGTCACTCCTTTGAATCAGTAATTATCTTTCTTTTGCCAGGTGCTCCGACGCAATTATTTGCTCAGAGAGACCGGAGGATTTAGGAGGACTGAGAGGGGCCATTGCAATCGATTTCTATAAGACATTGGCTATTCCCAACAAGTGGCGGCGGCGGGGAGAATCATTGCAGGCCTACCCGGTTCTACCTCGGCGAGCGGTGGTCCGCCTCCTCTGTCATCTACGCGCCAACATAGGGGACATACCGGATGATGAGGCTAACCGCTTGCTCTCGACGGCTGGCGCATCCGACACGGTCGCGCTTCGGCACCTTTTGAGGGCTAGCCGTCTTCCCCGAGATCGGGCTGTGAGCCTCCTCTACCGGGCTCTTCCTGGCTTTGTTGCACGGCAGGACTGGCACGGGATCTTTCTGCTTGTTGCCTGGGGGCAAGGAAGGCTCTCCTCCCAAATCTTTTAAAACGCGGTTGCCGTCAAAAAGTGTGCCGCTGTAGCCTTGCTTTTAAGCTGCATGGATTATCGTGCATGCGCATTACCGCCCATTGGGGCGTAAGCGGTGCCTCATTCGAGGCTACCGCTGATAAAGTGCCCGGCCATAGGCTCAGCGCGGTCCCAGTCATTAGGCGGTGCCTCATTCGAGGCTACCGCGCAGCTGACAGAGGCATAGGCTTCTCCGCCATGGACTACCCAGGCCGGCATTTCTGCGTGGAGGTCCACGAGGATGCGGTCCCCATTTGCAGTGATGCGCTCCGCGGAACGGCGGCTTGGGCGCATGCGCCGATGCGGCTCGTCTCCCCCGAGCTTTCTCCTTGGTCGCTGAATTGGGACCTCGTGGGCGACCAGCTTAGCGCGCTGTTAGCCACCGCGCCTGCGCTGTTATCATTAAACACCACCCGCGAGGAGCACGAGCTCGGGGACAGAACGGGGGCCTTCCTCATGGTTGCAGGTTCGCTGGCGGACTAAGCCTTACGATGACGCCATGTCGGGGCAGCTTGCCTATCACCACGCGTGTGCGGGTGAGCTTGGAGCGTTGATGGCAATCATCGATAGCCCCTTATCACCGCGCCTGATGGACAAGGTCTGGGACCAGGCTATCGTGGCCTTGTGCGAGAAGCACTGGCAGGGGGTTGTCTTGATCCTCTCACGAGGGGACGTGGTCAACCGCATGTTGCCGCTACGAGAGAGGCCACGCTCCTGGTATGCCCCTCTGATCTCCCAGGCCATGCTGCAAGACCACGACCTTGTGCTCCTTCTGTTGGCGGGTGGTGCCAACGCCAACCTGCCGGACACAGGGGGACAGGTGCCGCTGATCTACGCGATCTATGCGGGACGGGAGGACTGGGTCCTGGCATTATTGCAGGCCGGAGCGGATCCTGTGCCCAACACTGGATTTCAGCCCCTACTCCTGTCCACGGCCCGGAGGTTGGACGCGGCAGCGGTGTACCTCTTGGTGCACCGTGTGGATCCGCTGCTGGCTGCCCGCGAGGGCACCCTGCGAGGATTATCGGCCTGGGACATGGCGGTGCAGTGGCACATGGAGTATGTCGCGGGAGCGTTCAGGGCGCGTGGCGCCGGCAATCAGGACGAGCTCGTTTCGCTACGGAATGCCCTTACCGGTGAGACGGTCGGCTACTTGACGGAGGGGGCGTCCCCCCCCCTACAGCACTATGAGCTACAGGAGTACCTGCGGCTCCCGCTCCTGGGCCTCGATGTGGTCCCCACGGAAGACGGACTCAGCGTCTGTCGACGTCATTCGGTATCCCTTGGCACCTCTCTTGATGACGGGGCGGCCAGGGGCTTGCAGCTTCGTGAACTGTTGCTGGACCGCAAATATGATATCGCGCTCGGCATCGCGAGGTCTTTCCCGTCGGTTTTGAGCTCGACTGCATATTGTTGGGGGGCGCCGCCTCTGGCAATGCGCTGGGCCATTCGCAATGACACCTTTGCGGTTTCCGTCCTGCTCCGCGCGCGGGCGGATCCAAATGGTGTCCACCGGGATTTGGGTAGCCCCTTGGTCTATGCCATCGCCAAGTCCTCCGACCTTGCGGTTCAACTCTTGCTCGCTGCGGCTGCTTGTCCCAACACACTGAGCCAGTATGGGCAGGCTCCATAGCGCACGCCGCTATATGTGGCTACCTTGGCAGGCACCCCGCGCACGGTGAGGCTGTTGATAGCAGCAAGGGCGGATCCAGGTCCGAGCTTCGGCTCGCGCAAGTCGCTTATGCAGCTGGCCTTCCACCGCGCCGATCAGTTCGCGTTTCTGCCGGCGATTTTTGCTCACCTTGCTAGGGGGAGTCTGTCTAAGTCGGACAGGGTGGAGCTAGCGGAAACGCTGCTTCCTTCCCTGCTAGCCCATGGAAATTGGACGGGCATGTTGTGTCTTCGCCTGCTTTGCGCGGACTAGGTCGACTGCGATATAAAGGGGTGGGCTGCGAACGTGGATCGTGTTCCTGCAGCGGTGCATGGGTGCATGTTTATTCTGTCATCGCTGGCTCCAGGTAGGATTTGGGACTAGGGGTGGCCGAGGGCAATGCTGCCCGTCGGTGGGATCCGTGCCCCTCCCTGATGGAAGCGCCAGGCCCCAAGCGGGCCAGGACCAGCAAAGCGCTTCGCTCACATGGCCATACAAGTGTTCCCTGCCAACGTGTACGGTTCTGGGGCCCTTGGCGGCCATAGGCCAAGCCGGGATTGAGAAGCGCACCAGCACGCCGGTTTTGCTGGAGCCTGTGGTCATGACGGAGGAGATGTGCTTTCCTGCTAGACTGGTTCGGCAGTGCTGTGTTGGCCCGAAACTCACATCTTGCTAGTGCTCCCAGGTAGCGCTGCACCCACTGCCGGACTGGTTGTCCACCTTGGCGAGACCCTGCAGGCGCACTGTCTTGAGTGGATTGACGCTGATGATTTTGGGGACATCCTCAGGGCTGCCCTGAGCGCCTTGGACCACAAGCTTGTTTCCTATGGTCGCGGGTGCCTGACCTCCGGATGGGCCAGGATATGTGGGGCGAGGCCCACTCCGCTCTGGTTGGGCCCTCGGTCTGCAGGCACTGAGCAGTGCGCTACCCTGCTCCTAATGAGGGCGGACCCAGACACGCCTTGGAGAATTTGGTACTGGACACTTGATTGTTATGCTGACGCGGGCAGCGCCCACAGCCGACACCCACATGGCATGCCTCCCCGCGTTGGCATACGCGCTGGCGCGGGACAATGGCCCGGACATGGCTAGCCTGTTGGCGTGTAGGGCTTCGCCGACACAACCCTTGGGCAGTCCGCCGTTTACGGCCTGGATGTCTGTGCTAGCCCGCCGTTCTCCTTATGCACTCAGGTGGCGTGTAGCCTTGGCCTTCTTGAGCCCAAGTCCTCGACGCCACTGGTCCCCATATGACGACGCTGGGGGGCAGCTGCCTCGGCCTCGGCTTGGCGCCACCGACCGCCTCAGAAGAGGATGTTGCCAAGGTACTTGAGCAGGTGTCTGCGGAACGGGCTATACAGTGACGGCAGGAGTGCGAGCGGAGACAGGTGGAGTGGAAGTGCTACACCCCTTCCCAGCACTACCCGGCACCACCCGCCCCACTCGGCACTACTCGGCACCACAGGCTGTATTTTGTTGAAATTTTAGTGAATTTAGAGTAATTTAAAGGCACCCCAATGGCTGCCCAGTGGGCCAGGTTTGCCGTTGACGCGGGGCGGGTGGCTCCCTTTATGTCCTGCTGGCCGCAAGAGCGGAGGTAGACGGGGGCCGGCCCAGAGACCCTGCTTGGCCGTGTCCTCAGCATGGAGCCTGTCCCTGCCAGGCTCGAGGGCACAGTTCACACACTACTGACGGCGAAGGCGACCTGCACCTTTCCCATGGCTGGTGCTCTGCGTGTACTCGAGTTTTTGATGGTCAGGCGGGCGTCCACTCCGGCGGCGATGCTGTCGCACCTTATCGCGGCCCGCGCCGAGACGTCAGTCAGAGAGCACGAGCGCTTTGGGCTGGTTTCCCCTCTCGGCATGGCCGTCGGGCTGGGACTGAGTACAGAGATCAGCATTCTGAGCGCCCATGTTGGCCGGAGCCTGTAGCTTGACCGGTATCCAAAGGGCGCCCGTCACCTGTTTACTCTTCGTGTGTAATCGAGCAAGAACCACCCGCACTTGGGCCCAAGGAGGTAGGGACGCCAATTCTGGCGCTCCCTGTTCCCCTGTTGAGCCAGTTAGCTAGTACGCTGCTGATGGCCGCACTCTGTTCGTCTGTTGCTGGAAGATGTGCGCTCCGCCGGCCTATGCCTGCGCTCAGACCCGCCAGGCGCCTTGTTCTGCCGTTGGTTCAGCTTAGGTACCGGGACATTGGCCAAGCTCCGGCCCGTCCCGCTTCCGTTGGTGCGCTGTCCGGGCATTCTGGGCCACCAGGACTTCTTACGCTTCCTGGAACCGCTAGTTGGCGTACCGGTGGATATGCTCCGAGTCACGGACACTGCGGGACGGGAACAGGTGGTGGATGACCCGCGGATGCACACGAACACCATTCTACTGCTCCGGGTGGCACCGACGGCCGTGGCTGACGTCACCTGGCTGCAAGACCAGCTACGGAGAGGCGACTTGTCCCTGGTCTGCTTCGCCCAAGAGCACGGCTGGCGAAACCTTTCCTGCCCTGCTACGCCATCTCTTGTGGAGCCCGAGGCGGCACCTCTTCTTGCTTCGACCACTTCTGCGCAGCTGGCTACAGGGGACTCACACCCCGCCGGCTGCGAGCGGTGCAGCGGCATACTTCATCGCTTGCTTCGATGCCGAGCTGTGTAACCAAGTACGACAGCTCCTTCTCGCTGAAAGCGAAGGTGGCAATGCGAATGCACCGCGCTGGCTTGTGGATATGGTATGGTTTGGCTCCGCGCCGTGGTCGCGACAGCTCCTCACTGTGATGGCGCGGCACATGTTGTGGTGGGGCCACTATCCTATCAGTATGTGGGCTGGCTGCTGGCCCTTGGGGCGGACCCGGCCGTCCTTCAGCATCGCGCTGCACGCTGGCAACCGGCACCCGGTGAAGAGGCGGCGGTTATGCCGAGGCCTTGGGCTGCCCAGCAGGGTTTGCGGGCCTGGGGAAGGGAAGGCACGGTGACGGTCTACCGACCAGATGGCCGCTTAATTTGCTCGGTTGAAGAGCCTGTGTTGCACAGGGACATTGGAGAAGCCTTCACGAATGATCCCTCCGGTATCATTGTTCGCGGTGCCTACCAGCTTATAGTCTTCAATCCAGTCTCGGGGGGCACCGTTGTCGAGCAACAATCGCTCCTACGAGATTCCCTGCTCCGTGACGACCCTCAATCCTTGGTGCGAGTGTTTGAAGCCGCAGGCGGTTTTGCGACCTGTTGGGTCTGGGGACCTCACTTATGCCCGGTTGCATGGGCGCTTGACCAGCCGGCGGTTGTTCTTACGCGGGTCCTCGAAGTGGCACGCGACCGCCCGCTTCCAGGACGCGGTCGCTTGCAGGAGGCTTTGGAGCTGGCCGCTCTACGTGGTGATGCCCTACAGGTGGCCACGTTAGTTCGCCACCACCGACCGGCCCCAGACCCTGGGGATGAGGACCTGCAGGACCCAGTCCATCGGGCATTGCTGACCGCTGTCAAGGCAGTGTATGAACTGTTGGCTGCTGGCTATTCCTCCGAAGGGCCCCTTTTGGGACAGGCCCTTCTCGAGGCAGTGGAGCATACGGCTCCGCTTGCTGTCTCTCTCGGCTTCTGCCAGTAGCCAGGGCTGACCTGGATTTGAGCTGGCAGGCGACGACGGTGATTGCACGCCGATCGGGCTGGCAGTTTTTTACCGCATGTGGGATACTGTAAGGTTGTTTCTGTGCAACGGCCTGCCACATGGCTGTAACGGCATACGACCTGCGACGAGCCAGTAAGTCCTGCTTGAAGTGCTGATGTCAGGGGTCGTGCTGACTGAGGGAGCTGGAGCGTGGAGGTGCATCGGTGCATATCCAAATGCGTTTGTTGGGTATGACCCACTGCAGGTGTTCTGCTCTCAGCCACCGTGCTAGACCGTACCCCTAGTAGGTAGTACCCGCGCACGGCCGCCCATCATCACAGCATGGCGGCGCCGACATCGACCGATGCTGCTATGCCGGCAGTGACTGGCCTGGTTTTGCAACTAGAGGGCCATCGAGCGCCGGGACGCTGGGAGGCCCTCGGGGCTGGCCTGAACGTCCCTCACCACGATGTGCTGCAACTCAGCACATCCTTGGCAGTGGACGCCACCTTCGTCCAGTATGCTCAGATGATGGCCTCCCTCTACAATTGCAACGTGGTCGTTATTGAAGCCAACCGTCGTATTGCCTGGCTCAAGTCTGTGCCGGCGGACCCCCGTTCGGCGGCTAGCGGGATTATCTCCTACTACGACACCCAAGGGCGCCACGGCTACCGAGCATTCTACCACAGCTGAGTGATGAAGGGCGGCAGCTCTGCAGCCAGTTCGGCTGTTACCCTGAGCGGATGTCGGTGCTGAGGGGGAAAGCGATGTCCATTGTTGCTTTGCCTGCTCATGGCTCTGTATGCTCTCCCCTGCAACACAAGTCCGATCCCCCCTGGTATATCTCGCTAGCCCTTTTGCTCAGGTGAGGTCCAGCCCTTGAAGCCAAGCATTCGCTTGAGCTTCTGCTCGCTGCCACTGCCTGTCCTGCCGGCCTGAGGCTGGGCATTTGTGATATGGCCGTGCCTCTTTGGCGCCGCCTGGATGCCGGCATCAATGTCCGCGGGGGCGATATCTTTCACTACGACATACGGCAGGACGGCACTTTCGCTCTCTCAGAGGCCGCCATTGATTTGACTCTCCTTCTGGCGGCGACGACGGGCTCCAATCTGGTGGTGGTGGAAACTCATTGTGGATGGCAACACCCGGAGCGGGAGACGTGCCGCCTTTGGTTCAAGCGGGTCAGCGACGTCTACGGCCACATTCGCGACAACACGGATGTTGACTATGGCCAACGCCAGGGGTACCTCACTTTCTTTCTGAGTGCCTGAACACTGACTAGGGCTTGCGCCTGCGGGGATTAAAATGGTGCTGTGCGGATTGGCCTTCAGTACCCGATGTCTGTGCTTCACGCCTTATACCTATGAGATGGCTCCTCAGCTGAGGGGACGGAAAGGGGGGTGTAAGGGCTCGGACATTCGTCCGTAGCCCCGCTAGCCTGCTGCCTCCTAAACCGCGCCATGGCGAATGCCCACCTAGCGACCACGCTGCAACCCCGGGGAGGCGGCGCTTCTCTATCATGCCGGGATGGCTGGTGGACGGTGGCCAAGGCCAGGGTACATGACCTTAACACAAGCCGTGGTCCACGGGCAGCTGGCCGCGGATGGCTCGGTCCACCCCTAGCTGCATGATGGGCTGCTGGTGGTGCAAGCGCTTGGCGCCTGTCGGCTCCCGCGCCCTGCACAGGACACCTCAAGGTGGCACCGGCTGGTCCGAGGCAGCCCGGTGTTTAATGCCTTCTGTCAGGAAGTGAGTATTCCCGGAATTTTCGTTCACGGGCACGTGCTCGTCGCACGACATCTCGAGAGCAACAGCACCGTCACGGCGAGGTCTGACGAGATAGGGGAGGCCTGGATTGCTGTGGTGGAGGGCATGTTAGTGGCTCAACGGGGGCCCCACCGAGCTCGTCGGCATGCATCCGTTCTGCCCTTGCGAGACCCACCTTGGTGGGAAGCTGGGCTTGGGTTAGTATGCACGTACGCTCTTGACGGCAACAGTACGTTGTGCACCGTGTGCGCCCTCCTACCCTGTTTCTTCACGGCTGCTTGTCAAGCATGGCCCTTATCCTTTGATGCCTTGCCTGCTGTCACTGTGCAAGAATCAGAGTGCCTGCCCTTGCGAGGCCCACACTGTGGGAAGCTGGGCTTGCTTAGAGGTACTCATGCATTGTCTCCGCGGCACACTCTTCACTCGGATGGACGCTTGGGCGCTTTTTTCCATCCCACCAGCCTTTCCATTCTGCCCTTGCGAGGCCCTCTTTGGGAAGCTGGGCTCTGTGACAAACGGGCTGGACGGGTGTGTTTTACTCTTCGTCCCTTTTGGATGCTGGGCAATATGTGTGCCATTGCGCGACTCAGCTCGACTGAGAAGCGGGGCATCTGAGCGGTGGTAGTTGCTCGAGGCCTGACATGTCCTGCCGAACGACGTCTGCCGGCTAAGTCTGCAAGTCGCGGCGTGTCTCACTTTTTTGCGTAGTTCCCTCTTTTGTACAGCTGCTTCAGTTATAGATCTTCTTGTGTTTCTTGTAGTTCTTACTGGGACCGAGTGCAGCAACTGCTGTCTTTGAGGCCCGCCCACGCCAAAAAAAAAACTCTTCCACTTGTACCGCTCCAAGGGCCAGATCAGTTTGGTCCAAACCGCCGAAGATGCTGTGGAAGAAGAGAGACGTGCTGGCTTGAGAAAAAGGCAGCGTGAACGGCGCAAAGCGCGCATGCTGGCCCGAAAGTGAGGGCAACTTTGTTTTCCGTCGGTGTGATGCTCCAAGGGCATGCGCACAAATCTGAGAAGTGTACCAAAGCCTAGCTTGCCCTCAGCTTTCGCAAGGCAGACGACCGCAGCATCGATGCTCAACGCTTCAGCGAAAAGTCCGGCCTTTGCAAGGCCTGCCTGCTGCTCTGCTTGCTTGGGCACTGGGCCCCCTAGGGTTTTAGTTACCCCGAATCATAATATCCTGGCGTTGTAGAGGATGCTGATGATGAGATATCATTTTGTGTAGGGGCTATGTGTGTTTGAAGCTGAGAGCCTTGGGGCCTGGTCTTGCAATTCGAAGGGTAGTATGGTGTAATGATGACGCAAGTCGGAATTAGACCTTCCAGGTGGTGGAACGATGAAAGTGCGTGGCTAAATCTTAAATCATGATGCCCCCCCCCCCACCCTGATATAGCCCCTAACCCGCTTAAACCCTTAGCCGCTAGCCCTCAATCTTAACAGAAACCTAAATTCTAAACCTCATAGAGGTCCTTAACCCTAAACCCCAAACACTAAAGCTCGCTGCTAAGTGGTGAGCTTGCTGCCGACTCCTCTGGATGTGGTCTTATTCAGAGCTTCCTAGAGGCTACTCAGAGTTTCTGTGTTCAGAGACCCGGAATCTGGGTGCGTACTTCAATCAACTTGCAGCCTTGAGGGACCCTTTTAAAGGACAGAGTGTAGGAACAGTCTACTACTGCGAGTTCAGATGTTCAAGAAAAGGCAAGAGGTCTTGCTAGCGTGAGCACGATGAGAAGTTTGGGCTCTTCCGTGTGCAGGGGGGGGGCTTGGGGCTACTGCTAGCTGCCAGGTAGCAGCTTCATGCTTCAATTGATGGCCCAAGCACATGTGGTAGACAAGGTGGCCCCACCCCGCCTTCTTGCGATCATCAGAAAGTACACATGCGCCCGAAATCTCATACCAGTATAGAAAATCATATATGGAGACCATGCTATTCACGATATATCCTATTGCGGTAGGGCTTCTTTAGAGAGTTGGCAGCCCTTGGCCCATGCCATGATGTGGCTTCTGCAGCTTGCGGCCTACACAGGAGAGCTTGGGTACCAAATATCAGGGTTTAGGGTTTAGATTTTGTTGTTTTGGGGGTTTACTGTTTGGGGTTTAAGGTTCAGGGTTTAAGGTCTGGGGTTTTGTGTTTAGGGGTCAGAACATGGCACAGCAACGTTGGTTCCTCATGACGGTTGGCCAGGATATGAACATTTGGTAGTTAATGCGGGTTTCCAGATGATGGTTGCAATTACAGGGATGTGTGGTAAGTGCTGTTGGGTTTCCATGCTATGGCTGCAATTCCCTACAGCATGCTGCAGCCATGTCGGCATGAATGGTCATTCATGTGGATGTGGAATGGAGCTCCCCTGTTCCTCTGCCACTGGGTCCAGAATAGTCTACATAGAGCTTAAATCCTAGATTACAGTTGCAGCTACGAGACCATTTAATCCAAGACCAATCCAAGAACCTTAAACTGTGACTACAGCCCAGTGGGCGAGGCAGATTTCTGGCTCTTTGGCTCCCTCGCCTGTTGCTTGTGTAAAGGACGGTATAGTTGCGCAGGGGATGTTACGCTGCAGGCAAACTGGGAATGCCCCTGCAGTTAGGCCCTGGGACTCTGAAGTTTGGGCTTCACCAGCAACCTTCGCCCCCTTCCGGGGGGCATGTGGCCACAGTTCAGTCCGACTCAGGTTTGCCGCTGCTTGGGCGCAGCTGGCGCGATGAAAGCCGGTCCACCAGAGGCCACCGGGAGTGATGTATCAAAGTGAAAGCGGGGTCTTTGAGATGGTGGCTCACAGTCCGCGCCTGCATCTCTGTTGTTTGGCTTTTTCCACTTGAGAACGGCCCAAGCTCAAGCTCAACAAGTTCGTAGCCAGAAGCCGCAGGTGACATTAGTGTAGCCGAGCAAGATGCGCTCCTTGGCTTGCTTGTGGGTCGTGGTCGCCACCTTTGCGGATGCCACAAGCACCTGCAACTTGGCCGGCGAGTGCCATGGAAATGACACCAACAGCTTTCTGCAGCTCCAGAAGCATGATCGTTTGCACGCGCATGTGGAGACTGCAGCTGGCTGCTGCGTGGTTGTGGATGCCAGCAACCGCTCCAAACCGGTTCTGGCACGCACGGAGACGCTGGAAGCCCTTCCCGGAAGCTGTGCCGGAAACGGCCGTCAAGCAGAGGACCCAGCACACTTCGTCTACTACGCCACGCACAGGTGCTCGCAGAGCGTCATCGAAGGCATCCTCAAGAACCTGAACCCGGAAGCGAAAGCTCGGGGAAGACAGCCAGAGCCGCAGCTGCAGCAGCCGCAGCCGCAAGCCTCCCTTGCATCGGCTGGCAGCACAGCCAGTAGCAGGGCCCTTCACCGCCAAGCGCTTTCTCCCGGCTACACCGTCTTCGAGTCCTTCGATGGAGTTTGGCCCGAGCCCGATGCGACGAAGATCATCTACCACAGCAACACGGATGTCGGGGCCATTGCCAACATTGGCGCGGATGGCACAACGACTTCCCTTGTTACTCAATATAGTGAACCGTACATTTGGGGTATTGGTTGGCGAGCGCCAACCTACCCCGTCACCAGCAGGATAGGCACCACACTGCAGGCCTGGATCATGACGGATAATGACGATTCGTGGCCGAGCAGCTCAACTTTCAGTGCAGATTACTACATCGGCGTTGACCTCGACGCCGGCTTCACAGAAACGAAGGCTGCCTACTTGAAGGTGTACTGCCCTAACCCATTTTCGTCGTCTAGCCACCCCCTTTGCTGGCTTGAAGTTGGGTTTGTGCATTACACGGATTGGGGTCAATTCTGGACTGACACCGAGTCATATTCGGACTACTTGCCAATGCGAGGGCAGTGGCTCCGGGTCCTCATCCAAGTGCTCTCTGCAGAACGAGTGGTTGTGCGGGTGTACGATACCTCCGGAACGCTGCTGCATGATGTTGAGGGGGACTTCGCCGATGTTGATGCCGTGATGTCCACTTCGGGGACAGCCTACTACGAAGTAGAGATACCTGGTAGCAAGGCGCACCTGGATGAGCTGGCCACCTGCAATACGATTGTCACAACAGAGTTGACCACCGACCCCGGGGAGTGCCATTCGTCGCAGACGGTACTCGATGACCCGCACGAGTGCATTCCCGAGGTGACCTACAGTTGTGGGCCATCTCCGATTCCAAAGGGGAAAAGCCTGGTGCTGTGCGGAGCCTCCGATGGCCATGACATCACCTTTGAGGTGGAGGTCCAGGATCCTGAGGTCCCGGTCATAGAACAGTTGGACACCATCGAGGAGTTCACGTGCGGGGAGGGGGCATGGGTAACCTACGGTGAGCCAGATGTATCCGACAACTGCGAGGACCTCGTGGCAACTTGCTTCCCGCTTCCGGGTTTCTTTCCAGTTGGCACCACAAATGTCACGTGCACAGCTCAAGACTCATTGGGCGAGGCTGCAGCACCCATGACCTTCCAGGTTGTGGTGCACGGGGATACGACAGAGCCAAGCTTTTCTCCGGCTTTGGTGAACAAAACCGTGGATGCTGGCTGCGCCGACTTCGCGCAAGTCAGCTTTGAGGCAGTGGCCGTCGACGCCGACGGATGCCTTGAGCCCTTCGTGAGCTGCAGTCCCACATCCATGAGCCTGTTCCCCATCGGTGACACCACGGTGCAGTGCAAGGCAACTGACCACTCAGGGAATGTTGCTTATAGCAGCTTTGTTGTCACGGTGACCACAACGTGCCAAGAAGAGCCGGACCAGCCTCAGCAGCCGGCCCAGCCTCATTATGGGTGGTATGGTCGGTATCATCGCGTGAAGTCCTGGCTGAACCCGCTGGGCAGCCGAGCGACTGAGCCGTTCGAGGGCCCAGAATCTCAGAACTGAGAGCTGGCCCGCTTTTGGAAGAGACTAAGCAGTTTTCGGCCCATGTTGGTTTTGCCGCGCTTCTGTCCCCAGGCATCTCTTGAGAACCAGCCGCTGATTCAGCAGGCAGTTTAAAACCTCCCAGGTCTTTTCCAAGTCTCAGGCCCAGCTCAGGAGACTGGAAGCCCAAGGTGCTGAGTATGGGGGGGGTTTCCAAAAAATGGGCCTCATTTGGGGGACTATATATTAAGAACCTTGTTTTTTGGGGTCCATATTAGGGGCTCCTCACTTTCGGAAACCACCAAGGAGAGTCTGGGACAGGAGCTGCATAATCATGCCAAGCCTTAGCTGATGCTAAACCTGAGCTTACGAGCTGCCCGGAGTCTGTCTGACAGTTCTATGCTATGTGCTACATATCAGATAGTACATATTAAACATTATATATTACATTTTATATACTGTGCAAAAGCCTGTGCCAGGTTTGGGTTGCTTGTGGAGGTGGAGCCCTTCTCCACAGCCAGTTGTTGCCCAGATGCGGTGCTTGGAGAGGGCTCTGGGAGTTCCCTAAACCCTAAACCCTAAGCCCTAAGCCCTAAACCCTAAACCCCAAACCCTAAGCCCTAAACCCGAAACCCGAAGTACTAAGCGCTAAACCCTAAACCCTACACTGCCAAAACTTCTGGACAGTTGGATCCTAAACTCTTGGAGTTGTAAACCCAAGGCAGCGCTTGGAATTCTTCCTACCTGCCTGAGGAGGGAGCCTGCTGCTTGGTAGTTGTTCTTAAAGTTATAGGCGCCCTAATGGTGACTACAAGTATAAGTTGGGTTATTGTAATCCTAGTGAAGCACCCCAGAGCCACTCTAAATACAGCCGAAGCACCACAAGGGCTGAGCGATTTTTCTTTTTTCTTCTGGGGGGGGGGGTCGGGAGGGGGGCCGGAGAAGGAGAGAGAACTTGGGGCTGTAGTGGGTGCAGGGCTTTTGATATTATGAGCTTTAGGGCTGTTGACCTAATACAGGCAAGTGAAGAAATTGAATTATTACTTCACACTATCACCCCATCAATTTGCATTATCATGCAGAACTCTTCTTCCGACCGCTCACCGCCAGAAATGAAACGGCTATCCCGCGGCTTGCTCCCCCCAGCCTTACTTTCGCAATCGTCCAGTACGTGGTCCGACACTCTAGACGTTCGTTAATCTCCGGCCTGAGGCCCGTCCTTCTGTCTGAATCTGTTGTCGACGTCAGGGCACAATCCCTGAAGTTTCGCCTCCTCCCCCCTCAGTCTCATCCACTCAATCCGCCTCCTAGCTTCACTGTAGATTTCAATATCACCGCATCGAACTCACTGTATAGCTATGCTCACGCAGCCACGATTTCATAAATTCAGGCCCCTAATCTTAGACAGAGCCGGCTCACATAAGGCCCCCCGTCCCGTTTCGAAGAGCACAGGGCGTGGACTGTCAGCTTGGGGGTGTTGGAATTTGGGTTCAGTTGTTTTTTGGTTTCAGAGTTTATGAGGTGGAGGGTTTTGAGTTTTGAGTTTCAGGTTTAGGGTTCAAGGTATAGGGTTTACAGGGGTACAGGGGTTACAGTAGAGGCTTTCGGTTTCAGATTTCACGGGGTGAGGCAATTTCCCTCAAGCCAACACCTCCCCCTGAGCCCCAAGGCTCTGAAGCTGTGGTCTTCACCCTGTTTGCATCTAAACCCTAAACCCTAAACCCTAAACCCTAAACCCCTAAACCCCTAAACCCTAAACCCCTAAACCCTAAACCCTAAGCCCTAAACCCCAAACCACCCTAAACCCTAAACCTGGGAGGCGCCATGGTGGTGGGGTTGGAGATGTTCGGACTCCTTGCGCCTGGCATTGAGTGTTTAGGGTTCAGGGTTACGGCTGCCGTCTTTGGGTTTGGGGTTAGGGTGAGATATCATTTTGTGTAGGGGCTGTGTGTGTTTGAAGTTGAGAGCCTTGGGGCCTGGTCTTGCAATTCGACGGGTAGTATGGTGTAAGGTGTAATGATGACGCAAGTCGGAATTAGACCTTCCAGGTGGTGGAACGATGAAAGTGCGTGGCTGAATCTTAAATCATGATGCCCCCCCCCCCCCCACCCTGATATAGCCCCTAGCCCGCTTAAACCCTTAGCCGCTAGCCCTCAATCTTAACAGAACCCTAATTTCTAAACCTTAGAGGTCCTTAACCCTAAACCCCAAGCTCTAAAGCTCGCTGCTACCTGGTGAGCTTGCTGCCGACTTCTGGAATTCCTCTGGATGTGGTCTTATTCAGAGCTTTTGGCGTGTGTCCATTGCAGATGAGGGCGTCAACGGCGAGTGGTCATTCCCCTCTAAGATGTAGCTGTGGCACCGGGCGGTAAATGCGGTTACAGAAGGGGGGGTTGGCTTACTAGATGGTCAGAGTCAGAGTGTCACTTTCTCGTTCTTGGTGTGTGGCCTTCGGAGTGTCTATCTGAATAATCGATGATGCCTATTGCGCAGGACCTTCAGGCTCTTCCCAGGATTGCGAGTGTGAAACCCAAAACCTTAACCCCCTACGCACCCTAAACCCTGACCGCTTGGACGCTCTAAGCCTTAAACCTTAAAAACTCCGTACACCCTAAACCCTAAAACACCCAAAAACACCCTAAAACACCCAAAAACACCCTAAAACACCCTAAAACACCCTAAAACACCCTAAAACACCATAAAACACCCTAAAACACCCTACACCCTAAACCCTAAACCCTAAACCCCTCAAGCCTCTTTGCTTCAACGCCCTCAAGGGCCCAAGGCCCTTGGTCGCCTCGGGCCCTGGCCCGGGCGCTACGAGGGCCCGGGCCCCCAGAGTCCAGAAAAAGGCTTGAGTTTTTTTTTTCATTTTTTAAAGGGGGTTTGGGGGTTTGGGGGTTTAGGGTTGAGGGTTTAGGGTTCAGGGTTGAGGGTTTATAGGGGTCAGGGTTTAGGTTTGAGGGTTTATTTTTGACAGTCTGGCCTTTGGGCACCTCGGTTCTCTTTGTCAGTGCCGTGTTATGCAAGGGCCATAATTCCAAGTTTGGGGTTTATGGTTCAGGGTCTGGGGTCTCGGGTTTAGGGTATCAGTTTATTTTTTGGGGGTTTCGTTTTTGGGTCTGATAGGGCTTTAGAGGGATGTCATTAGGTCAATATTGGGAGTGTTGATGGCTAGAAGGGTTGTATAGAATTGCTTGTTTTGTACACGGCTTTATGAGACTTAGTGCCGAGCCTTAATACTATCAGTAGTCATATGATTCATCGTAGTAATCACAATGACAACGAAGCTCACTACTGCAATACGGTGTTCAACATCATACCCATAACCATAGTTGTTTGTTACCTACAATGCGGACAGTAACAAAAAGAGATCGAATTGGGTCATTGTAGTAGGGTTGAAAAAGGCAGGGACTATGGTACTGTAGCTATTCAGACACACCGCACGGCCCTCGACAACGAACTCTCATGAGCCGGGTTCGGGTCCAATGCCTCGGTTTGCGGGTATAGGATTTAGGGTTTAGGGTTTAGGATTTAGGGTTTCAGGGTTCAGAGCCCGCAATTCAGGGTTTACCTGGCTGAGGCATGGTGCTCGAATCTGCTTGGGGCGGACCTTAGCCGACTACGAAGGAAAGTTGGCGATGGTCAAGGTTCCGGGGAGCCGACGCCCGAAACTCCAGGTCTTGAATCCTGAACCCTGGACCGTAACCCTACTTAAAGGATCATCGGACTTAGTAACTAGGGTCATAATTAGGGTAAGTGTACTTATCACCCCAATTAAAGTACTTATAACCTGACTTACTAAGTCCCATGATCCTCCAAGTAAACCTTAGACCCAAGACCCCCAGCACCCGACCTAGAATCCCAGAGCCCAAACTCCGAACCCTAGCCGCTTAATGTAGGGGGTTGGAATAATTAGTAGCAGTACCGCGTGCACCTTCTTGCTTGAAAACTATACTGGGCCCCGGCACCCTCGTCAGCATTTTTCAGACTCTTAGGGTTCGGAGGTAAGGGTTTGGGGTTCTTTGCGCGAGGTGTTGCAGAAATTTATCCTCGAGGAGTGGACGAAGCCGCCGATGGAAGAGATAACCACTTTCGTCACCGTTCCTGCAACCGATGTCGTCATCCGTCTGCGGCGCCGCGGAGTCGAGACCCAAAAAATCTGCCGAGACCGAGTGGCAGCCCCATTGTCGCACCTGCACCCAGAGAGCCCAATACCTTAATTGAGCAATATACCTCAATTATAAGGGGCTTCATATTATGATTTAAGCTATATTCCTTAGTTAAGGGGTATTGGGCTCTCTGGGCAGCCATGTTTACTTCGTGTTCCACGAGACACTAACGGCGATTCATGCGTGGTTGACAAGCCGGACATGCACCAGCGGCCGGTCACAGAAAGGCTCGACAGTCAGAACGGGAAGCCTGCCTAGGATGCCCAGTAGTACCCTTATTCCCTTTTTGTAGTCCTAGGTTCCTTATAAAGTTACCCAATACCAAAAAGAGAGGCCTGTTTTATTCTTAGGTTACTGGGTATCCTAGCTGCATGTCTGCTGCCATGGATCAAGACCGCTGTGAAGTAGAACGCGAAAGCCGTTTCAGTACCTATCTCGCCGAACAAGCCAGCCCCAAACCGTAAAGCCCGAGCCCCAAAACCCCTCAACACTTTGCAAATCACGGTAAATATCTAAACCCCTGAATTCTAAGCCCTAAACCCTAAACCCCTGAATCCTAAGCCCTAAACCGTACCCCCCTCGGACCGACTGCTGGCCAAACAGCCAGCAGGGAGCGTTTTATTCGCATGACCTCCCCACCACGGTTTAGGGTTTAGGGTTTAGTACATGAGTGCAATATTTCAGCCTTAACCCTCGCCATCTACATGGACATCCGTCCAATTTTCAACTTCCGGCTCTCTAACCCAGAGTTCGGGTACACAGAAGCGTAATCCCGCCCAACTCCCCTCCAGCCCTCCTTTCAAGTCTTCCCTACAACTCAGGGAGCACATCTTTTCAGCCGTAAGAGCTAGAATTCAGAGAGCACCTCGCGCCTGGATGGACGCAGTGGAAGAAGAGTTGGGCTTGCTCGTCGACTACAACGCTTCCGAAGGCGATGGAGGCCAGGACAGGTTCAGGGTTTAGGGTTTAGGGTTCAGGGTTCAGGGTTTAGGGTTTAGGGTTCAGGGTTTAGGGTTTAGGGTTCAGCGTTTAGGGTTCAGGGTCCAGGTTTTTGGAAGCTTGAAAGGATCTTGCTTGGAGGTTCATGGGTAGTTATATATGGAGCTATAAGTCCCCAAATATGGGCTATAACTATACTTACCTTACTTATCATAAGCCACAAGTGGGGTTGTAAGTAGGATATCTATAGGCATAACTCATATTAGGGGTCTTATAACCCCATTTATAACTACCCATGAACCTCCAAGTCGAGGTCTGCGGATGCTGAATTGAGGAATAGACCCGTCAGTCACGTGCAGGAGTCGCCACATCGGGTTCGCAGAACTTACACTTAAATGAAGGGTTCCTCAGATTTCAAGGTGTAAATAACAAATGAACAAATGCAGAGAGAGAGAGAGAGACTCATATTTACATATATATATATATATATCTAGACATATATATATATATATGTTTATATGCACATGTTGCCTTATTCAGAAGTTTTGGAAGCTCTTGAGCAAAGGCCTTTGGAGCCATGCTTGCCAAGGTCAGGGAGGCCCCTTGCCAGATGGCGATGATGCTGGGTTGCAGTCATCCAGGGTTTTGGGGTTTAGGGGTTTAGGGTTTAGAATCTAGGGCTACAACAACTGGGAGCCGTTTATTTTTCTTAAGGTATCGTAGGGTTCCATTCAACAGGGTTATGGAGGGCTCAAAAGAGGGGCCTTGAGACTGTTTGTGGTATCAAAATGTAGGGAGCGCAAGGGGTGACCTGAAATCTTCAACCCGAAACCCGAAAACCTCAATCCGAAAACCTCAATCCGAAACCCTCAATCCTAAACCCCAAGCTTGCAACCCCAAGCCCTAAAGCCTGTATCCCCAAGCCCGACATTGGACCGGAAACCTTACAACACTGTTGAAGCATTCCTCAAATCTTTAAGACACCTTAAGTTCTAATTCCTGCAAACCCTAAATTTTTTAAAGGGCCCCTTAAACCCCGCAAAACCCTGAACCCTTAAAGCCAAAAGCCCTAAACCCGTAGATGGCCCTTTTAATTTTCCAAGCTTAAAGCCCTTAACACTACACCCTTACGGCACCCCTTAAACCCTAAACAAACCCAAAACCTTCAACTAAAAATTCCTAAACCCTAAACCCCTAAGCCCTAAAAAGCCCCAAACCTTCAAACAATCAAAGACCGCAGCGCAAGGAGACCTCTGAAGTTCGGCATCGCAGGACTAAGCGCGAAGCCTCGAATGGCGACGCAGCCTCCAGGCTGGGGAGGACTCGGGTTTTAAAGGTTCTTGGGTTTAGAAATGGGGTTTAGGGTTTGGGGTTTGGGGTCGAGTGTTTAGGGTTTAGAGATTAGGGTTTGGGGTCGAGTGTTTAGCGTTTAGAGATTAGGGTTTAGAGATTAGGGTTTAGAGATTAGGGTTTAGGGTTCGGGTTTAGGGTTTGGGGTTTCGGGACGAGTAATGGGGCTTTAGGGTTCAGGGTTTGGGCGCCCTTGGGGTTTAGGGTTTAGGGCATCGGATTGTGTGTCGTGGCTGATAGTCGCACGTGACCTGCTACAGGCAACTTGATAACTGGGATAGGGTTTGCTTATATTATAGCACATTACAATAGATACTATAAGGAACTGAGGACGTAAAGTGGGCCCTTAAAACTTATCAAAAGGAATTGGTGTGTATTACACTGCTTGGGAGTTGATAAAAACTTCGACCCGACCCGGGGGCCTTCAACCCTGAGAGGAAATGGCTTGGGTGGTAGGGTTTAGGGTTTAGGGTTTAAGGGTTTAGGGTTTAGGGTTTATGTCGCAAAGGAAAGACGTTTGACGTGACATGTGCCGCTTAAACCTCGGCGGTCAAACACTACATCCCCCAGAAACCCTTGCAGAACCTTTGACCCATGAAGAACCCCTTCAACCCTAAACTCCAAACCCTAAACCCAAACTAGGAATTTAGCATCGCACAGCGCCTGCTTCAGGCCACTGGCTTCTCCTGACGAGGAGTCCTTACGGTTACGGCGTAGCGTTTTGGATTTTAGGGTGTAGAGTGCAGGAAGTGTAGGATCAGGGTTTGGGGTTTAGGGGTTAAGTAAGGGTTGGGGAGTTTGGCGGGTATGGCTTTCTCGGGAAGTTCGGGCTTCGTCTTATGGGAATTATGGTATATTCCTTGTTATGGGTCATGCAGGATTTATATCATCAACCGTACTGCACAGGTTTGGGGTTTTAGGGTTTGGGGTGCAGGGGTCCGGCTAGCGGTAGCGGCATCCACCTTACTGTCCGCAACAGGTTCGGGTAGCTATTCAGGCTCCTACCCCTAAACCCTAAACCCTGGTCCTGCATGGGAGTTTCCGAAAATTAGGGGTACCTTATTTTGCCCTTTATAATAAGGATCCTACTATTTAGGGTGATATATTAAGGACGCCTAACTTCGGAAACCCCCATGTGGAGCCCTAGGACGGATCCTCGGCGACGCTGCAGATCTTCTGGCACCGCGCTGGGTGGCTTGTGCTTCTGCTGTTCTGCCAGTCGAGCTCCTCCTTTATCCTTCAGCGCCTCTTGACCTAAAGCTATCTGAAGGGCTTCAATGCAGGGGCCTTAATAATGAGACTAGGGGTTCCTTGAAAGTGCTCTATATAAGGGTTACTTTTCGGGCTCTGTGATATAGGGGCCCCAATAGTTGGACTGGGGTTTTGGGGCCCAGTATACTATAACTATACTAAGGAACCCCCAGAATAGTATAGGCAATTATTTAGGCCCCTTTTTTACGACAGCCTACAGTGGGTTTTTGCAGGGCCGGTTTCAGGGTGTCTCACCAGGAAGAAGCGCGAGGTGTAGCGTTTAGGTTTTTTTGGGGTTTGGGGTTTAGGCTTAATCAGCTCTTGAAGCTGTTGTTCTTCGCGTTTTGCCGCCGTCCTTGGGCCTGGCACACTTGAAATCAGAGCCTCCATAACGCTCTTACAAAGCCGATGGAGTCTGAACCACCTTAAAGCCCAATTCCCCGACAGCTCCATATTCTTCCCAACACACGATGCCAAGAAGCACAACGCCCAGATGCACACTTTTCTACTTTTCGGTCAACTTGTGTGGGGCCCTCAACAACACTCTGATAAGAAACTCTTCCTACATATATAATCCCCATACCCAAGCCTAGAGACAACAAAACCGCTACTTGCGAGCCTTTGGCAAGCACTGGCAACAGACATTCGCACAATACCCACAATCGAGCCCTGATAGCTCCGAAGCCGTCAACTCTCAATGAACACCAAAACCGTGAGACCTGAACCTAAACCTCAAACCCTCATACCCAATAGGAGGGCGGAGGAACAAGGAGCTTTGTATAGGGCCCAAAGAATTACCTGTACTATTTTGGGCATTCCTTATTAATAGCTTCGTGAAATACAGCCCATAGGGCCCCTATACGTGGAGGTTCATGGGTAGTTATAAACAGGGGTATATGTCCCCTAATACGGGTTATAACTTTATAACTGTAGTTAGCCGACTTATAACCCCACTGAAAACTCCCCATGAACCTCCAAGTACGCCCTAAACCCTAAAGAACCCTCAAAGAACACCAAACCCTAAAGAACCCCTTTTGTGGTCATAATATACCGCATAAGACCCATATAGTACCACAAGCCCTCATCCCAAAAAGGCCGTAAGCAAAAAAGGGGATCCCAGAGACTTCAATATCCCTTAATTCAGGAATACTCTTTAAATCATATTTTGGATCCTACTATAATTTAAGGTATATTCCTTAATTAAGGGATACTGGAACCCCCTAAACCCTAATACCCTATAGATCCCTTTTTTGAAGAACCCTTAAAGGAGCCCTTCTAGATCCCTTTATAGGAACCCTTAAAGGAGCCCTTATAGATCCCTTTTTTGAGGAACCCTCAAAGGAGCCCTTATATATTCCTTAATTAAGGGGTATTGGAGTCTCTGGGATCCCTGTGCGCCAGGCTTCGAGCTCCTCCGCTTGGCTGGCGTCTTTTTCTTTTTTACGGTATAGGGTTTGGGGTAGAGGGTTTGCGGTATCGGGTTTAGGGTATAGGGTTTGGGGTTTAGGGTATAGGGTTTGGGGTATAGGGTTTGGGGTATAGGGTTTGGGGTTTGGGGTATAGGGTTTGGAGTATAGGGTTTGGGATATCGGGTTTAGGGTTTGGGGTTTAGGGTATAGGGTGTTTCCAGCATAAGCAATAGGTTGAGGACTCGCTTGCCCGCCCCTACCACCCGAAGTTCGAGCTTCTCCAGTTCGAGCTTCTCCAGTTTACGCTACTAACTTTTCTTCGCTTGACATCGTCTGTATGTTTCTAATCATGCAGGTGGAGTAGATTTAAAGTTAAAGCATCATCAGCATCAGCTCTATGATGATGATGTTGATGATGTGGTGGAGGATGATGTTAATGACGAGGAAGACATTGATGAGGATCAGGATTAGAGACAGGACGATCACGAGAAGAAAATGCAAATGGCGACGACGGCGAGAGTGACGACGATGACTCGTGCGACTGCAAATTAGTCGCACTGGATATTCTGGTTTTTTGTTGTTCGCATCCCTGTGCTGCTGTCTACAGAATGCTTCCCGAGGCAACCACGCGACCGTCAGCTCTCCTGTTTGCATCGATCTGGGAGGACGCGAAAGACCTCAGGGGCGCAATTAGGGATTTATCTCGCGCACAAACAATGGAAGGGATGGTCCCGTTGTTGCTTGATGAATCGCTGTGTGATCAGGAGCACAGGGATGCAGATAACAAATTTGATATCTCTAGCTCAATTGGAACAGAGGCCCTTACATGCTCAGCACTTCCACGGTATCAACGTCATCGTGAATCTGGTCCTACAGAGAGAATGAAATAATGGTCCCGTCGATGCTTGAGGACCCACTCTGTGATCCATAACACAGGGATGCGAACAACAAAGTAGATACATCTGGTGGCGGGCGGGGCGGCACTTCCTCGACGAAATCCTCCACTGATGGCAAGCGGCACAAGAAGGAGCATGCCAAGAAGAAGCACCGAGGCAGCGACTCCAGCACCACCACGAATCCAGGGTTTGGCCTCTTGAAGAAGAAAGAAGACGCTGCGAGAAGCCGGCCCACGAAGAACGAGATCCAGAAGAAGATCGACGAGTTGCTGGCGGGCAGCTTCCAGGAGGTGGATGAAGGCCAGCTTCTGACCGTGAAGGGCGTCGTACAGAAGAACTGTTGTTTGGCACTCGCCGTAACGCGAGCCGCCGAAGGCCTGAACGCCACGCGCACCGAAGTGCACAAGAAGGCGCAAGCGTGGATGGAGAACCTGCCTCGCTACCTGGAGCACGGGGTGGCGAAAAACGAGGCCGCCCCAGGAGAGATGCTGTACGAAGATTACTTGAACAAGGTAGTCGATGACGACGAGTCCCGCATGGTGTTCCTGGTAGTCGCCAGCCAGAATGTCACAAGGGTCTGGGCAGGGCCGCAAGCCAGCTTGAGCGCCAGCAAAGCGATCTTCCTGAAGCTGGTGCCGGGGCATTTCACGGCCCTGCTCCCAAAGACCCGACGGAGACCTTGGTGAAGGCCATGCCCCCGGTCCAGGGATTTTCCTTCATCGGCAGCACGGAGTTCAAGGACCAGATTTGCGAGGCCCAGAAGACTGTCGAGAAGACCGCCTCGAACGAGTGAGTAACATCACCGTAGCAGCAGCCAAAGATTGTTTCCATGTGGCTGTCAGTCTTCCGAGAGACTAGATTCCATGCGGCAGAGCATCGATGCTGAAACGGCTCATCGCGTTCTTGCTCAGGAATTCCCTGCCCGACATAGACGCCGCAGACATCCGTAGCAATCAATATCAGACGGGACACCAGGTTAGGCACGTACTGCCCCCTTGGTTTGCATTTGAAGGCAAAGCGTGACTTATGCCATCGAGGGAATGTAGCTTGAGTCGTAGCAGACGTAGAATCGAGACTATATCACAGTTCTCAAGCAGGGCTCGTGCATCATACATTCCAGTGTCTCTGACCAATTTTCATGTTCCGCAACAGGACAGTGCTAGCAGCATCGCACACAGGAAGATGTCACAGGTAGTGGCCGTGGCCTCATGCATCATGCCGTCCTCTAGACATGCTGTGACCGAATCTCCGCCAAGGGACAGTGCAGCACTGGCATGTTTATCTTACCGTAACCTGCCGCAGCCATTGTGTGTGACAAGCTCAGCAATTCGTCATCTGCCACAATCGCAACATGAGCCGCCCGCTTGTGATCCCAGGGAGCTCCGAAGACGAGACGTCTGGTCGCGGCGAAGCCGCCAGAGCCCGACCGGATCATCAGAGAGGGTGGCGTTTCTTTCAGTGGGCCCCTTACGAAGGCTACGGCCTCTGCAGGGGATTCAACGGCCCATGCACATTGGGAGAGAACGACCAGGCAGCTCCTGCGGGGTGCGATGGATTCTGCGATTTATGCAACGTGGACGAGATCCCGGCCCTTCATCGACTCGGCCAAGGCCGGCTGACACATCTACTTCTACTTGTGGTGCTCCCGGAAGAGAAAGCTGAGGTCGTCTTGAAGCGCGTCGAGACCGCGGTCGGCGAGGAGCTGGTGAATCGAGCATGGACGACAGCCCGCAGCAAGAGCCCGAGCACGCAGAGCTTCCGAGCGCAGCAGTGATCGAGGACGAGTCCGCCGAGGAGCCGAGCCAGTTCGAGGAGCCAACCAGCCCGAGCAGCACTCCCGCGAGCCGAATAACTCCCATGCCGGCAAGAAGAAGAACATGCTTGCGGAGGAGACGGGCGAGTCGGAAGAGATGACGGACGACGAGCCCGTCGAGGACCTCTCGGAGTCGAGCGGCAAGGAGACGGACAACCGCAGCTCCAGCTTGGCCGAGCCCATGAGTTCAACGACCGCGAAGCCTCGTCCCTCGGCGATTCGAGCCAGCACGTTCCCGCAGAAGAAGAGCCAGAGCACGCCCGGCAAGTCCGATCAAGCGCCTTTCCGGTGGAGCTTGGCGGAAACCACCAGACAGAAGAAGCTGGTGGAGGCAATCGAGTCCAAGTTGAGCGATTTCTTCCAGGAGATTGACGAAGGCCAGACGCTTGTCGTCAGAGGCGTCCGCCAGCAGAAGTGCTGCCTGGCCTTGGCCGTGGCGCGCGCCCTGGGAGGGCTGGCCACGACGCGCAGCGACGTGCGCCGGGCCGCCGAGAGCTGGATCTTGGGTCTACCGGACTACTTGCGCAACGGCCGCACTCGAAATGAAGCCCAAGTCGGAGAAGAGTTATTTGAAGAAGATCATCAGCGATGACGACACCGCGATCGTGTGCCTAGCCCACCCAGAGGACCACGCCACACGAGTCTGGACCGGTGAGCGGGCGAACTTGAAATCCTCGAAGGTTTTGTGCCTCAAGTACGCCTCCGGCCATTTCGCGGCACTAGTGCCGACGGCTCCGGCCCGCATCAGCGAGATTCTGAGGGCGTTGCCCCGCATCCAGGGATTCACTTTTGTTTGCAAGCACGCCATCATGAGCGAGATGCTCCGCATCCAGCGCTCGTGAACGCCGAACACAGGAATCAAGCAGTCTCAAAAAAGTCCACCATGCGGAGAGTTCATGCTGACAAGTGGTTTCGCAGAGCCGACAAGTCTTGCATGTGAGAGCCCGTTGGAGTAGTTCTTAGACAGTGTGTTGTGCACGTTGCAGAGCCTTGAACGAGCCTCATCCCGCAACAGTCAGCTCGAGGTCCCATCGGAGTGCATAGTATCATAGGCCGCATTCTCAAACAAAAAACCGCGGGAGAGTGCATGCTGACAAATCGTTCCGCAAAGTACAAGTGCTACCTCTGCATGAGCACATTGGCGTCGAGCCAGTCTGTTGTGCATGTTGCAGGAGCCTCACGTTCAAAGCCTTGATGCCGCAGCAGTCAGCTTGATTCTTTATCGGAGTGCCTCTGGCAGAGGCCGCGCATGCCTGCAACAGGAGGCCCTGGAGCAGCCGAACAACTGAGTAGTACACGAGTACAGTTTCCCAACTAATACAAACATCGAAGGAGATGAAACAGCGGGCAGCGTAGAGCTTTGCTCGTCGACACATCCAAAGCGTATCATAGCCCCAAATCCTCGGTTAAAGTGGAGGAGTACATTCACAGCAGCAGGAAAAGAAACGTTGACGCTGAGAAGGTGGCGTACATGTTTGTTCCTGGACACATCCGTGACCCCCACAAGTGCATGAAGTTCATGCTCCAAATTGTGCTTTTGTTTCTCTAGAGTACTTGTGTGTACCTCAGGCCTCCCAGGAAGGGTGATTAGAACGTTTTGAGTGATTAGAAGGTTTTGACCTTCCCCAGAGACCGCCAGAAGGCTCCAGAGACCCCTTCCACAGGTCCCAAGGCCAGGAACCCATCAGAAGGCCTTCCTCAGAGACCCAGCAGAGAGCACCCCCCAGAGACCCATTAGAAGGGCACGCCCCAGAGACCCATTAGAAAACCTTCCCCAGAGACCGCCACAAGGCTCCAGACACAGGCCCCAGGGCCAGAAACCCATCAGAAGGCCTTCCTGAGAGACCCAGAGAGAGCACCCCGCAGAGACCCATTAGAAGGGCACGCCCCAGAGACCCATTAGAAAACCTTCCCCAGAGACCGCCAGAAGGCTCCAGACACAGGCCCCAGGGCCAGAAACCCATCAGAAGGCCTTCCTGAGAGACCCAGAGAGAGCACCCCGCAGAGACCCATTAGAAGGGCCCAGAGACCCATTAGAAAACCTTCCCCAGAGACCGCCAGAAGGCTCCAGACACAGGCCCCAGGGCCAGAAACCCATCAGAAGGCCTTCCTGGGAGACCCAGAGAGAGCACCCCGCAGAGACCCATTAGAAGGGCACGGCCCAGAGACCCATTAGAAAACCTTCCCCAGAGACCGCCAGAAGGCTCCAGACACAGGCCCCAGGGCCAGAAACCCATCAGAAGGCCTTCCTGGGAGACCCAGAGAGAGCACCCCGCAGAGACCCATTAGAAGGGCACGCCCCAGAGACCCATTAGAAGGTTTGGGGCCTTCCCCAGAGACCGCCAGAAGGCTCCAGAGACCCCACAGAGACCCATTAGAAGAACACCCCCGAGAGACCCATTAGAAGGCCTTGGGTTTACACTTTAGGGTGTAGGGAGTGAGATAAGCGCTCGCTGTCGCTCGGCAAGCCTCGCCCGCCACAGACAGTGGGCTGGTTGGGCTCGGCTTAGACTTTGGGGTATAGGGTTTGGGGTATAGGGTTTGGGGTATAGGGTTTGGGGTTTGGGGTATAGGGTTTGGGGTATAGGGTTTGGGGTTTAGGGTTTAGGGTTTAGGGTATAGGGTTTGGGGTATAGGGTTTAGGGTTTAGGCATTTAAAGTTTACGGTTTAGGGTTGCAACCTTTAGATAGGTATGTATTGACTGTGCTTTAATGTACTGCTTTTGGATGTAAACTCGTATGACCCTATCCGTTAGTGTATTTCAGTTCGTTTTTCGCGCGATCTGGTTTAGGGTTTCTGCCCGGATTCCCCGAAGCCTGAGCTCGAAATCTGAAATGCAGGCACAGTGCTAGGATTCATCGAGGCAGCCCGAGAAGCACTTGTAACCGGCTTCAGCATCCTGTCATAGCCCCCGTCCCAAGCGCATCATTAAGACTCCTATGTTAACACCTCGACCCAAGTTGGTTTTAGCAATCCCCCTGGCTTATCGGATTTTCGTAGATCCCACAAGCAGGCCCTATTTCTTGACTACCCGTTCTTGCAGACAAGTGCTATCTAGGATCTCTAATATTCAAAGATGTGCTTCAGGTTTCCACTTCCTTAAAGCTGCTTGCGTCTGTCAGTTTCGCCGGGTGCTGCCGTGACGGAAGCTGAGCAGTTTTTTTTTGGGTTGAGGTTGGGGGCAGTGCCAAGGTTCTTGATCAAGTCGCACCCGACGGTGATCTACTTTCTCACCATGCTTGTTGGGGCGGGCGGAAATGCCGGAGGGCAAAGTACCGCACCTTGGCACAGTTTCCTGTTTCTTGTTCTAGGGTTGCGAAGATCTTCAGCAAGCGCCAAAAAGTTGGAAGCCGGATTAAGGCCAATTAGTGCTGACATTCCGTATGCATTACTCTGAAGGTTCGAGGCTATTGGGTTTCCAACTTTTGGGCTTCTACTCTATAATCAGGATGGTGGCCGGCTGTCCCAGAGACTCCAATATCCCTTCATTAAGGAATATACCTTAAACCATAGAAGAATCCGGGCAATAATTTAGGGTATACTCCTTAATCAAGGGATATTGGAGTCTCTGGGGTAGCACTCCACACACGTCACCTGTCATCAGAAGGCTTCAGTCCCTAAGCGCTTGTGCCCTAAATCAAAACAACCCCTAAACGCTCAAGCCCGAACCCTACTTGGAGGATCATGGGACTTAGTAAGTCAGGTCATAAGTACCTTAATTGGGGTTGTAAGTAGTTATAAGCACAGTTACCCCAATTATAACCCTAGTTACTAAGTTTCGTGAACCTTTAAGTATAATTCCCAAACCTTAATGAGCCTTAATCTCGGAATCTGATTAAGAAACATTGGGCCTTTATTAGGGTTCCTTATATGAATACTATTATTTTTGGGATTATAGGCCCAGGGTTTCTTAATCAGGTTCCTACATTACCTTAAAATACCACAACACTTCTTGGTGGTAGGCTTCCGATAGCTTCCA